CACAGTGGGAGCTTGTCCATAAAGCCACAAGCCCATGACTGGCGCACAGTGGGAGCTTGATGAAAGTCTGTGACAGCCAGGACTCAGAAGTGTGGGTTCCAGGAAAGTTGACCCGTGTTCTAGCCTCCTTCCCTACTCTGCCCCAAGCTGGGCATGGTGTCCCTGTGACCCTGCCTTCTAAGGTGTCCCCACCCATGTCCATATGCATTAGCTGACCTTCTTCCAAAAGAACTCTCTAATTCCTGACTTTCCCATAATGTGTTAGAGAAGCAGGGCAGACTGTGTCCATCTCCTTCCCTCACAAGCTGTGTCGCCCTGAGCTAGTCACTTTACTTCTTTGAGCCTCAGTTTTCTAAACTGTGAAATGGTAATGCTGGACCTGCCTCAGGATTGTTGTGGCAAGTTAGTGAAATAAGTACATCCATTCTGGGGCTGCTGTCGAAGCCACTGGACCCAGTGATGGGGGTGAGCATGCACCTTTGTCTTTGGCTCACCTGTGTTGGCCCCTCAGTTCACCAGCCCCTGATGGGTACATTTCCTAGGGAAGTGGCAGGGAGGCCCCCCCACGCCCCGGAGCAACTCCCCCAGCCTGGCTCCCTGCCTCTGCCCAGGCCCTGTCCCTGAAGGAGTCCGAGAAGACGGCACTGTCTGAGAAGCTGATGGGTACACGCCACAGTCTAGCTACCGTCTCCCTGGAGATGGAGCGGCAGAAGCGAGATGCTCAGAGCCGGCAGGAGCAGGACCGAGTAGGCACAACCCTGCCTGGAGGAGCCCCTATCTGGGGGAGGCATGGCCCTGCCCTGGGGAAGCCCCTAATCTGTGGAGGGAGCCTCAGTCCTTCCCTTGGGAGTCCCCAGTTCTCCAGTCTGTCCTGGAGAATCCCCCTAGCCTAGTGGGACCCCACCTACATGGGCAGCACTTGCCCAGCATCGAGGGCTCAGCAGAGGCTCTGGCAGGCCAGTGCATGAGGCTGTGCAGTTGGGGGAGGGAGTGCTGGAACAGGACCAAACCTGAGGTGCCACCTGTCCCAGAGCACCATGAACACCCTGACGTCCGAGCTGCACGACCTCCGGGCCCAGCTTGAGGAGGCTACCGCAGCCCATGCCCTTGAGGTGAAGAGGCTGCAAGGACAGGCCCGAGACCTGGGCAAGCAGAGGGAGTCCTGCCTGCGTGAGGTGAGCAGCCTGCCCCCAACTCTCCTGGTCAGCACATGCTAAGTGCTGGGGCGTGCCTGTGGGGGTCCCCAAACTGTAAGAGCTATCCCTGCATTCAAAGATAAATCAATGACCAACTTAGAAAGAATGCTGTAAGTATAAGTAAATAAAAATAAGTTATTTTTATTTACTTTGTTGCAAAAATAGACATAAGATGCTATTTGCCAATTTGACATTTTTCATGTGTACAACTTAGTGGCTTCAATTCCATAATCATATTCTGCTATCATCACTAATAATGTTGCCAGATTTTCCATCACCATATGCACAAACGCACTGCTTCCTAAACGTTAGATTCCCTGTCTCCCTCCTATTCACCCCTGGTAACTTTGCTCCCTGCATTTGCAGCAAGCACTTAATCAACACCTGTGGTATACCTACCCCCTCAGAAAACTCAAGGAGGGGCTTCTGGGATGCCCTCTTGGCATTCACCCACAAGCCAATCCCGATGGATTACTTCAGGCCTAAGCAGTACTGCTGACGAAGTGGCAAATGCTCTGTTACATAAATTTGATTGTTGTTAGTTGCCCAAGTCATTTCTAACTCATGGTCACACAATGTGTTGCAGAGTAGAACTTCGCCATAGGGTTTTCTTGGCTGTAATCTTAACGGGTCACCAGGCCTTTTCTTCTGTGTTATTGCTGGGTGGGTTCAAACTGACAGATTTTAGAGTAGCAGTTCAGTATAGTTATTTGCGCCACCCAGGGACCTTATAAATATTTTTGCACAATAAAAACAACAAAAGCACCAGTGATTCCCAGCATGCCTTGCCCCACATTGTATGAGGGGCTTCCAAAAGGGAATTGGAAAATAATGAAAATTTCTCATGACCTTTTTAAAGCCTTTTTGTCACTCACAGCCACAGAAAGAATCACTACCAAGGGACAGGGCGATGGGTAGGGTTGCTTTCCTCCAGGCACCAATTTGAGTGGGGTGGTCTGTCCATGCAGGCAGAAGAGCTTCGGACCCAACTGCGCTTGATGGAGGACGCCCGTGATGGGTTACGGCGGGAGCTACTGGAAGCCCAGCGCAAGACCCGGGAGGGCCTGGAGGACTTGGAGGCCCAGCGGCAGGAGGTGGGCGAGCTGAGGCGAGGCCTGAGTGAGGGGGCTAAGGAGCGCGAGGCCCTGCGGCGCTCCAATGAGGAACTGCGAACTGCTGTGAAGAAGGCTGAGAGTGAGCGGATCAGGTGGGTGATGTGGGGACCGGCCCAAGTTCTTCACAGAGCCCTGTCTTCGTCAGTCTTGAAAACCTAATGTCATTCTCAAAGTTCTGGGAGAGACAGGGACTCTGTCCTCCAACCACAGTGAAAAGGTCAACAAGGTCCCTGGCACTGGGGCCTTTCAGAGCTTTTTCCTACCTGGGCTAGAAGAAAGGTGGCAGCAGGCAGGGCTGACCCCACCTGCTATCTTCAGGGCTCCCCCGCCCTAGAGTCCCTGATTGTCCCCTCCCAGCTAAGCTCAGCGTGATCATAGGAGCAGGCCAAGGGCCCGTTAGACATACTCCAGGATCCAGGGGAAAGGCCTTTGTGTAAGGTTGCAGACTATAGTCTTCTCAGGACCCAGAGCAGCCCCTGCCCTCTGCTTTCTTCACCTCCAGCCTGAAGCTCGCCAACGAGGACAAGGAGCAGAAGCTGGCATTGCTGGAGGAAGCCCGCGTAGCCATGGGCAAGGAGGCTGGGGAGCTGCGGGCCGGGCTGCAGGAAGTGGAGCGCTCCCGGCTGGAGGCTCGGAGGGAGCTGCAGGAGCTCCGTAGACAGGTAGGCCTCTCCCCATCCTTACCTCTCACCCTTCACCTCTACCCTCCCTCCCTTCTCTGGAGACTTGCTTTGTGTTCCTGGGCCAACAGTATCTCCTTTCTGGATAGGAGATTCCACCACCCCCTACCCCCCCACCCCCACCCCCCCACACACCCCCCCTCCCTTCTCTGGAGACTTGCTTTGTGCTCCTGGGCCAGCAGTATCTCCTTTCTGGATAGGACATCCCCCACATGTAAAACCAGGAGATTGAACAATGTCATGGCTCTTACCTAACCTTGCTTCAGGCATACCTTGTTTTGGTGGGCTTCACAGATAGGGCGTTTTGTACAAACTGAAGATTTTTGACAAACCTGCATCAAGGAAGTCTGTAGGCACCATTTTTCTACCAGAATGTGCTCACTTGTGTCTCTGTGTTACATTTTGGTCATTCTCCTAATATTTCAAACTTTGCCCCTGTGCTACCATACACTTAGTAGATTACAGTAGAGAACAACAGTTGTTAACTTTTCTATGCACTGAGAAACCAAAGAAACGGTGTGACTTGCTTTATTGTGATAGTTACTTTAGTGTGCTGGTCTGGAACAGAACCCACAACATTTCTGAAGTGTGTCTGATTTGGTGGAGGGGCTCTGAGAACCCCCGAAACTGCAGAAGTGTGTATTTATGTATACACACACACTCATTCTGACATTTCTCCAAGGAGAGAGTCTGGAACACTTGTTCAGTTCTCAGAGGACTCTGGGAACAGCAGAAGGCTCTAGATTAGGGGTTGGCAGATTACTTTTATAAAGAGTCAGACAGTTAATATTTTCAAAATAATATTCTATTGTGTTTTTGGTGATAGTGTACACAGTAAACTTAGGTTCTCATCTGACAATTTCTATACCAATTGTTCAGTGACATTAATTACATTTTTTCATAGTGTGTCAACATTCTATTTATTTGTGTTCCAATTGTCCCATTTCGTTCTTTTGTGCATTGGGTTGCTATGAGTCGGTACCAACTCCATGGCACCTAACAACAACAACAACAACAACTTCTGCGTCCTCTTATCTTCTCATTTTTGCTTTAGAGTAAATGTTGAGCTTTTGGTCTTATGGATGTTTCTTGTTGCTGTTGTTAAGTGCCGTCTAGTCGATTCCGACCCATAGTGACCCTGACAGTCTCATCAAGTTCTCTGGTCTCGACTGATACAGTCAGAATTACGTTTTAAAGACTTAAGTTCTGTTTCTGTGCTTTTCTCCCCTTCTGTCTATTGCGGTCCTGATCAGAACAGCCTCTGGTTCTTCTGGTCTCAGGGTAGATGAGACAGTGATTCCTGTAGGCTGTCAGCCCTGTGCATTGCTTCTTCTGTGAGATGTTGGTTTCCTTCTCACTCTTTTGCTCCAACCTCCCAAAATCATCTTCTCCACTTTGTACCCAGGCTCCCTCTCCCCAGGCCCCCTTCTGCTGGACTGAAGTCCTAGGAAAGCACAAGGGTCTTTGTAAGGCAATTTACTTTAGTGTGCCTGGCACCTGCTGGGGCTTTGCAAGCTACAGCCTGAGCCTGCTGTAGGTGCAGCATTGAAGGGTAAGGTAGGCATTAGCCCCTGCCCATGTTTGCTTTGCAGTCTACCATCTGGGATCAAATCTCAGTCTGCCGCTTTCTGGCTGTGTGACCTTGGGCAAGTCACTTCCCCTCTTTGAGCTTTCTCATCTGTTAAATAGGAATATTGTTAGTATCCTACCCTGTGTGAAGTTTAGGGTTAATATGAGTGAAGTGCTTAGAACAGTGCAGGGCACAAGGTAAGCACTCCATAAAAGCTAGCTATCATTATAGAGCTGAAAGGTGACCCAGAGAGCTATGGTTCTTGCCCTGAAGTCTCCAGGTCTGCCCCTCTCCCCATGACATAAAGGTAGTTGTGAGCCCCTTGTTTTAACTGGTAAACTAAGGTTATTCGTGCCCAAGTGCCTGGCATGGCTTGAGTTTAGTGGCTTACCTGGATTGGGGTGGTGTGTGATACACATATTCCTAGACTCCCCAGGGTACAGAGACAGAGCTGGGTTGTTGTTCAGGTTGATGGGCCTGTGCCATGCTGGGCTGGAAGGGACTCTGGATGCTGAGCATGGGTCCTAGGTCCTATCTATGGTGATCTCTCTCCTATAGATGAAGATGCTGGACAGTGAAAATGCCAGGCTGGGCCGGGAGCTGATGGAGTTGCAGGGCCGCCTGGCGCTGGGCGAGCGCGCAGAGAAGGAGGGCCGGCGGGAGACACTGGGCCTCCGGCAGAGGCTGCTAAAAGGCGAGGCCAACCTGGAGGTGGTACGGCAAGAGGTACGTAGTCGGTTGGGTGGGTTGCCTGGAGATGGAAGCCCTTAGGAAGTAGGTAGATTTCCCTGTCCTTTTCTTCTTCCTCTAGTGGCAAGTAGGTGGGGTTCCCAATCCTGATGCCATTATGAGACACTTCCTAGGATTTGTATCTGTCCTCCATGCCTTGAGACTCTTTGCCAATTATCCAAATAGTAACAATAAGTGTAAGAACTGAGGGCCTACTGTGTGCAGGTACTGAGTGGGGTTCTCTGTAGACATCATGTTATTTGATCTTTTCAGCAGCCCCATGAGATAGATATAATTAGCTCCATTTTATTGATAACCAGATACTGATGCTCAGAGAGGTCAAGGGATTTTTCCAAGGTCATACGGCTTCCCAGGTGTGTCTGCAGCCTTTCCACTCTATCTTCTCTGTTGCACAGCCGCAGATCTGCTGTGTGACCTTGATCAAGTCACTTAACCTGTCTGTGCTTCAGAGCATATTAGGGGATGTATGTTGAGTCCTGGCATCCTAGTGGAGCTCAGTAGATGGTAATTTCCAATGAAACCATGGGGGTCACAGGTTAGTTTAGTCTCTAAACCAGAGAGGGTTTTTTCTTTTTCTTGCAACCATGTATCCTTAGCAGCAATTTTTTTTTTACCAGTAATTTTTAATATGTGCACCCCTTGCGTGCAGTTACTTACAAATTATGTTCACGGAGCTGCACAGCTGTCTACTAATAAAGAGAATAGCTCTTGAGCCAGAGTGCCTGAGTTTGAATTCAGGCTCTACATCTTATGAACTTTGTGACCTTGGACAGGTTACTTAACTGCTTTGTGCCTCAGTTCAATTCCCTCATCTTTAAAATGGGAATGATTGATAAAGTGGTCATTAGAGTTAAGTTTTGGGAGGGAGTATTTAGCACAGTGCGTGGCACATAAGCCCCTATCTCTATGTGAACTACAAGGTCGGCTCTTCAAACCCACCAGCTGCTCCTTGGAAACCCCATGCAGGGTCGCTATGAGTCAAAGCGACTCGATGGCACTTAACAACATCTGTATATGTTAGCTGTTATTACTAATTATGTATATTATAAAGCATACAAGTATATTCAAAGAAAGAAGAGCACATTCTAATGGTTTCCTCCCACAATTTTGTGGGACAGTTGTTGTGCATGCTATTTAGGGGTGAGCTCTAGGCTGGGCTGTAGGGTTGGGGAGGCGACCTTGCTGACCCTCCTTACCCCCTACATCTCCGCTTTGTCCCCACCCTAGCTCCAGGGAGCCCAGAGGAAGCTACAGGATCAAGAGGGAGAATTCCGGGTCCGTGAGCGAGGCCTGCTGGGCTCCCTGGAGGAAGCACACAGAGCCAAGAAGCAGCAGATGGACCACACCCGCAGCCTGGAGTTGAAACTGGAGACAGGGCGGGCTGAAGCTGCAGAGCTGGGGCTGCGGCTGAGCGCAGCCGAAGGCCGGGCACAAGGCCTGGAAGCTGAGCTGGCCCGCGTGGAAGCGCAGAGGAGAGCGGCTGAGGCCCAGCTGGGAGGCTTGCGCTCAGCCCTGCGTCGCGGCCTGGGCCTCGGACGCTCCTCCAGCCCCGCCCCGCAGCCGTTGCCTGGCTCCCCAGTCCGAAGTGCTCCCGCTGGAGGTGAGCTGGAGGTGGACTAGCAAAGAATCGGTGGGCGGGCCCGGCCGGCCTCAGCGAGGTCCCGCCTCTCACTTAGTTTTGTTCCACCAAAGAACCCACCCTTCGTTATGCCTAGCGGTCCTTCGTGATTTAGTCTGTAGTCCCGCCTACAGCGCCGAGTCCCTGCCTCCTTGTTGAGGCTCCGCCCCTTCGGGATCCCGCCTTTTGCAGGCTTCTGTTCCACGAAGAGTCATCTCTCAGGAGGCCACGCCCTCTTTGAAGGCAGGTCTCTAGCCCCGTCTTTTCATTAAGGCTCCTCCTCTCCCTGTATCTTTTCTTTCCTGGGAAGGAGGAGGCACACCACCACGTTTAATGTCCTTAGGATTTTGTGGGTTAATGCACTGGACTACGAAGTCAGTTTGAACCGCAAAGTCTGAGGTTCAAGGTCACCAGCAGCTCCTCAGAAACCCTATACAGTGTCACTGTCGGTCGGAACCTACTGGCTGGCACTTTAACAACAGCCACTGAGTCCGAGCCCCAATTCTCTTAACTGATTCCCTCCCTCTCTTTACCAGCATCCCATCCACTTCAGGCTGCCCAGCGCCATACTCCTTCACATCTAGCCTGTAAGGTTGATATCTTCCTCAGACACACACTAAGACCTGACCACCGCCTTCCAGGACTGTCCTCTGAAGATGGCCTCCCAGTCCCCTTTCTCCTGTGCCTCATTTGGAGTCCCAGGACCTAGAATTAGAACCTGTTGAACCCTAGAACTGTGGGATATTGACGCTGGAATGTGGATATTCCATTCACAGATTTAGCCTCACTCATGCACTCAACAAATACTCATTAAGCATCTACTGTGTGCCTAGTGGCACAGCGGGAAAACCTTGAGCAGCTATGGAAAGGTTGACCATTTAAATTCACCCAGAAGCACTGCGAAAGGAAGGCCTAGAGATCTGCTCCCATAAAGATACTGCTAAGAAAACTCTATGACGCTGCTGTGTTCTGCAATATGGGGTCACCATGAGAGGGATTCAATGGTCATGAGTTGTGTGTGTGCACCAGATCCTGTTTCAGCTGTGGGAACAGGGCAGTAAACAAAACTATGAAGCATATCTACTGATCAGGAGCTTTTATAGTCTAGGGGTAATCACACAGAAAACATCATCTGTAAGTGAAGTGTGTCATGTGTTGGGTCATGAAGGCAGTAGAGAAAAGCAAGGCAAGGCTGGAGCTAGGGTTGTTTGTGTGGGGATAGGAAAGGCTTCTCTGAGGACATGGCAGGTCAGGCGGGAAGGGCAGGTTGTGTAGGGATTGAATAGTAGTGTTGGGAGTGAGGCTCTGAGGACAGCTGGAAAGGTGCAGCGTGGACACATTTGTCCTGCGAGCAGCAGCATGGAATAGAGCCAAGAGGAGCACAGTTGATATGGGGACAAGTGGCCTGCCCAAGTCATCCTTGCAGGCCACTATGAGGGTGTTAGCTTTTGCTCTAAGTGGGATGGGGTCTTCCAGGAGGCCCTGGGTGGTAGGTGGACGTCCTGCTCTGGGAACCTTGGGATCCTGAAGAACTCTTGTTTGCAGGGATCACTGTTACAGGCATTAAGATGCTAATGGCAAGCTGGCCCCTTCCTGCAGTTCCAATACTGACCTCCAGGTGTCTTCTGTCAACCCTGACCCATCCCAACTCCTCATTGCCTGTCTGCCAAACTGCATTCTCTCCAGGAGTTGGGCTTTGCTGTAAATTGTTGAGTTGATTCCAGCTACGGTGAGCCCAAGGAGCCCGTGGACAGGCTTGAATGGTCTGTCTTTCAGCTAGTCGTCTAGCGCATAACTGTGTGTGCCACTCAGGGACTTTGGAGTTGGGCTACCTGGGTTCAAATCCTAGCCCCAGAATATTTCAGTTTAGAAACTTAGTACATCACTTAAACTGCTTTGTGTTTGCCTTGTCTATGAAGTACGTAATTACTGTGGCAATGAAATGAAGTGGCACATGAAAACCATGGGCTTAGTGCCCGTTGTTGCTTATTGTTGTTAAGTGCCATCAAGTCATTCCTGACTCATAGCAACCCTGTATAGGGTTTCTAAGGAGTGGCTGGTGAGCTTGAACTGCTGGCATTGTGGTTCATACTGACCTTGTGGTCCAGCACATTAACCCTCAGCACTGCACCAGGACTCCAGGCATCTAGCACATAGTAAAATACTCAGGACGAGGGTTTAGCGTCCGCTCTGGCCTAGGTTCTGGGGGACGCTGTGGTTTACAGGAGATGAAGCCCAAGCCCTCATGGTACTCATGGTGTGGGCTGGGACGCAGCCATCACTCCAGCCAGCCTTGGGCCAGGGTGACATTGACATGAAGGCCTGAGGGGTTGGCTACACAAATTAGAGCCATAGAGAGGCCAGGAAACAGCAAATGAAGGCCTTCCTTGAGGCTGGAACAGGAAAGGTTTAGGCCGTGGGAGTTAAGAGTAGTGTGATGTGGCCAGATTGCAAAGGGCAAGACGGTGATGCTGACGGGTGCAGCCAGGTCTCTAAGCTGTGGCAGCAAATGTTGGACTTGATTCTGAGGACTCTGGAAGCCAGCGGAGGGTTTTAAGCAAGAGGCTGATGTTTCTAGTTTGTGCTACAGGAAGCTCACATGGGCAGCTGCAGGGTTGGGAGGGAGGGAGCCACCTGAGGAGCGTGCAGTAGCCATCTAGGCTGGGGGGCTGGGGGTCCCTGTCTCTCTGACCATGTTTTTCCTTCTAGGAAGTGGAGAGGGGCTTAGCAGCCCCAGCTCCTTAGAATGCAGCCCAGGGTCTAAGCCACCATCCCCAGGACCTGCCAGCTCCCCAGCACCTCCAGACCTGGACCCAGAGGCGGTGCGAGGAGCACTCCGGGAATTCCTGCAGGAGCTGCGGAGCACCCAGAGACAGAGGGTAAGGCTGGCTGGGAAAGGCTGGATACAGAACTGGGAGGCCCACGGCCCCGTGAGGGTTGCAGGTGGTTCAGAGCAGGATGCTGCCCTTTCCCCCTACGTCGGGGTTGCAGGATGAGCTTCGGGCCCAGACAAGTACCTTGAGTCGCCAACTGGCCGAGGTGGAGGCCGAGAGGGACAGCTTGACCTCACGGACAAAGCAGTTGCAGAAGACTGTGGCTGACAGCGAGGAAGGTGAGGCTGACCCTCTGGGTTCCTGCTCTGCCAGATTAAGGGGCTTGGCCTGAGCGGTTCTCATTGCCCTGTCCTGGCTACCATTACATGGGTCAAAGGTTGCCTCCTCCAGGAAGCCCTTCTTGATCATCCCTACACACACACACACACCAATTTCTGGACCTATAGACCCTTGGGGGGCAGGTCTGCCTGTGGCAGGTGGAGAACAAGCCAGGTAATCTCTGTCCTGGTGCTGTGCCTGACCACCCCTGATGGGCCTGGTGGGCTGCAGCCAGGCGCAGTGTGGATGTGAGACTGAGTGGGGTCCACGTGGAGCTGTCGCTGAAGGAGGAGAGTGTGCGGCGCAGCGAGCGGGAGCGCAGGGCTGCCCTGGACCGGGTGGCTACCCTGGAGCGGAGCCTGCAGGCCATTGAGGCTGAGCACCGGGCGAGTCAGGTAGGAGAGCTGAGGGCAGGTGGGGCAGCAAGGGGATGTGTGTGTGTACAAGTGAGAGTCTGTGCTTCTGCTTGTCTGTGCTTCTTTCTGCCTGAGGCTCACAACAACCCTACAGTAACAGGCTTGTGACTCTTTCTATAAAAGCACATTTGGATTTACCTGTCCCATTTCACGCTGACACCATAAGACTCTAGAGCAAAGAGCCCGCTTGAGCTTTTGAGCCAGGCAGACCTGGGTTCAAATCCTGGCCCTGCCTTCTGTTGACCTGGGGCCGGTCCACTGTCTGAGCCTTCTTTCCTCACCTGAGAGCATGCCCGGTTCAGAGATGGTGCTCTTGAAGCTCTAAGCCACACAGCGTGTCACGCAGGGGCCTTTGCGCTCTTCTTCCTGTCCTACATGTCTCTGTCTAGCATGTGAGCGGTGTCCTGGAGTTTGTGTGTGTGCTTGGGGAAGTGTCCACATAGCTGTGTGTATGAGTGTGTTCTTGTCGGCCCCTGTGATGATGATCCAGGTTGCTGATGCCTCGAGCCTTTCACGAAGCTTATGGTCTCCCCTTTCCTTCCTCCTTCCCTCTTCTACTCATCCCTTGGCCCTCCATTACTACCCCGACAGCCCACCCTCTGCCTCTGGCTCCAGGCCCAGAGTAAGCTGGATTGTTGGGTCTGCAGCTCCAGCTTTGGCCTTGGGCCCAGCCACAGGGGCCAGGGGAGGAGGCCAGGAACAAAGATGGGCAGGAGCTAGAGTGGGGGTGGCTGAGCTCAGACAGGGCAGGGATGGGCTTGGAGCTGGGCAAGAGAGAGACCAGGCCTGGGCTGGACAGCTGTAGTAACTCCCCCGTGACCTACCTTGCCTTCAGGATGGCAGTGTTGAGACCCCAGACCTTTTTCCTGCCCTGTGCTTCATTCCCAAGCTCCTTCACGTACTGAGCCCATGTGGTGGAGGATGGGACATTATGCCCTAAGATGCCAGGACTCCTGCCCCCCAGGGCTGCCCTTGTCAGCTCAGGCTACACAAGCTCCATCCCAACCTGCCTTTAGACAGATCTGAGGTAGCAGGGCAAGGGTTCCCAAATCTTCGTTTTGATAGCCCTCTCCCAGAGCTCTGGACCACTCCAGCCTCCGCACTGTACAGAGTGTGAAGGGATTGACTCAGGCAAAACTGGACGATACTCAGGGGTCCTCAAGTCTACCACCTTGTTAACGGATGGGGAAACTGAGGTCCATGAAGGTCACAAGCTGGGACCAAGCCACACAATAAGTGTTGGACCAGTCACTTCAAACAAATCCCCTTAAGAATTCTGAGGGGTAGGAGGGCTGTGGGTGGGCTGGACAGTTGGGGCCTGAACCCTGCCTCACCCACAGGAGAAGATGAGCAAGATGAAGGCCAACGAGGTGAAGCTGGAGTGTGACAAGCGGCGTCTGAAGGAGGTTCTGGATGCTTCTGAGAGCCGGACCGTCAAGCTTGAGCTGCAGCGGCGCTCGCTCGAGGGGGAGCTGCAGCGCAGTCGCTTGGGCCTGAGTGACCGCGAGTCCCAGGCCCAGGCCCTCCAGGATCGGGTAGACTCCCTCCAAAGACAGGTGGGCTCCTCTCCCACTCTTAGCCACAAATCTGCATGTCCTGTGCCACCTAGGTGCTGTATAGGGACTGTCGTAAACCCACAGCCCGTGTCTTCATTTCACATGTGGGTAGAGGGAGGCACAAAGAAGTCATGTCACGTGCTCAAAGTCATCTAGCTAATTAGAGGCCGAACCAGAATTAAGACTTGGGATAGTTAGACTACAGAATCTGCATTCATGCAGGCATGTGGGACAGGTTAGAGGTGTAGATTACACCCATACCCAGTTCCCTTTTTGCTTTGGATGCCAGAAAGCTCAGCTCTAACTTGAATGTCTAGTACAGCTGCTAGCCCCGCAGGGTCACCTATCTAAATCAAAAGTTGCAGGGTCATGGTGGTTATTCTTTCTCCTCCATAGCAGGGAGGAGAGAGGAATGAGGGCAGGGAGGAAACCACAGGTCTGAGACAACCAGGTTGATGGCATTCTGAGACAGGGTAATTATCTGGCAGTATGGACTGGACCCAAGTTGCTGTAGCAGCGATGAAAAGAGATGGGAAGGGCTTGGGTTGGGCACACCTGGTGAAGGTCGCAAGTAGGAACAGGGATGTAGAGGCCAGATGGGAGCAGAGCCACTTGAACATCCTGTCGTCCCCAGGTGGCAGAGAGCGAGGTGAAGGCAGGGACCCTGCAGTTGACAGTGGAACGGCTGAGTGGTGCCCTGGCCAAGATGGAGGAGAGTGAGGGGGTCCTGCGAAACAAGGTGCAGGGCCTGACCGAGACCCTGGCTCAGAACAGTGCCAGCCTCAACAGTACCCAGGACAAGAACCTACACCTGCAGAAGGCCCTGACGGCATGTGAGCATGACCGCCAAGTGCTCCAGGTATGGTGGTTGCAGGTCCTGGTGAGGGTGGGCCCAGTAACAGAGTCAGCCAATGACAGAAGGCTCTAAGGGGGAAAGGGGACTCAGTAAGAGTCCGCCAGTAAAGGTGGCTCTGGCCTGCAGCCTTAGGGAGAGTTAATGGGGGAGCCTTGGAATCTGAATGACCTTAACGCTGACCAGTGGATAGGCTGTGGGTCAGGTCCCCTTCCAGGTGAGATGACTACCTGTTTTATGGACTGAGAGCCCCTGGCCTGGAGGTAGATTTGAGGAACATTTTCCCTTAGGGCTTCAGCCTGGCCTCATCAGACCCTGTTTTCCAGGAACGGCTAGAGGCTGCACGACAGGCGTTATCTGAGGCCCGGAAGCAGAGTAGCTCTCTCGGTGAGCAGGTGCAGATGATGCGAGGTGAACAGGCAGACCAGGAGCTGCAGCGAGCGGAGGCTGAAGGTCAGCTACAACAGCTGCAGGAGGTAAGGACCACCAGGATGGACCCCTTCTGTCCCCAGGACTATAGACCCTGGTCCATGGGGTAAGGACCTTCCCAGCCATCTAAACCTTATCCCTGTGAGGCTGTTGTTAGGTGCCATCAACAACTCATCGTGATCCCATGTACAACAGAACGAAACACTGCCCAGTCCTGTGCCAACCTCACAACTAGTACATTTGAGTCCATTATTGCTGCCATGGTGTCAATCCATCTTGTTAGGGGTCTTCCTTTTTTTTTGCTGACCCTCCACTTTTCCAAGCATGATGTCCTTCTCCAGGGACTGGTGCCTCCTGATGTTGTTGTCGTCGTCAGGTGCCATTGAGTCAGAACCGACTCATAGCGACCCCATGCTCAGCAGAACGAAACAATGTCCGATCCTGGGCCAACCTCACTACCGCTGCCACACTTGAGTCCATCAATGATGTCACCTGGCCGATCCATCTTGTTAGGGGGTCTTCCTCTTTTTCTCTGACCCTCCATCTTACCCAGCATGACATCCTTCTCCAGCGACTGTTCCCTCCGGACAATATGTCAAAAGTATGAGAGATGAAGTTTAGCCATCTTGGCCTCCAAGGTGCACTCTGGCTGCACTTCTTCCAAAACAGATCTATTGGTTCTTTTGGCAGTCCATGGCACTTTCAGTATTCTCCTCCAACACCACAACTCAAAGGCATCAATTCTTCTACGATCTTCCTTATTCACTGTCCAGCTTTTGCATCCATATGAGGTTATTGAAAATACCACGGCTTGGGTCAGGCACACCTTAGTCCTCAAGGTGACATCTTTGCTCTTCAACACTTTAAAAAGTTCCTGTACAGCAGATTTGCCCAATGCAATACGTCGTCTGATCTCTTGACTGCTGCTTCTGCGAATGTTGATAGTTGATCCAAGAAGAATGAAGTCCTTGACAACTTCGATCTTTTCTCCATTGATAAGAATGTTGTTTATTGGTCCAGTGGTGAGGATTTTTATTTTCCTGACATTGAGATGCAATCCACACCGAAGGCTATGCTCTTTGATCTTCATCAGTAAATGTTTCAAGTCCCCTTCACTTTCAGCGATCAAGGTTGTATCATCTGCATATCATTTGCTAACATGTCCAAAATATGAGAGACAAAGTGTCACCAGCCTCATTTCTAAGGAGCATTCTGGTTGTACCTCTTCCAAGACAAGTTCGTTTGTTCTTCTGGTAGCTCCTGGCACTTTTAATACTCTTCTCCAACATCGTAAGTCCGATTCATCAATTCTTTTACAGTCTTCATTATTCACTGTTCAACTTTCACATGTAAATAAGGCGACTGAAAATACTGTGGCTTGGGTCAAGCATACCTTAGTCCTCAAAGTGACATTTTTGACCTTTAACACTTCGTTGTTGTTTTTAAGTGCCATCAAGTCCGTTCCAACTCAGAGTGACCCTGAATATGGTTTCTGAAGAGCAGCTGGTGGGTTTGGACCACCTTTGGTTCAAACCGACCTTGCTGTCCAGTGTTTAATCTCCAGTGCCACACCAGAACTTCAATACTTTAAAGAGGTCTTTTGTAGCAGATTTTCCAAATGTAGTAAGTCATTTGATTTCTTGACTGCTGCATCCATGAGTACTGATGTGGATCTAAGCAAAATGAAGTCTTCGACAATTCTATCTTTTCTCCATTGTCCGTATGCTATTTATTGGTGCAGTGGTAAGGATTCTCATTTTCTTTACATTGAGGTGCAACCCATACTGAAGGCTATTGTCTTTGATCTTCATGAGTAAGTATTATAAGTTGTCTTTGCTTCCAACAAGCAAGGTTGTATCATCTGCTTATCACAGGTGGTTAATGAGTCTTCCTCCAATCCTGATACCATGTTCATCTGCATATAATCCAGCCTTTCAGATCATTTGCTTAATACACAGATTGAACAGCCTTGGTGTACACCTTTCCTAATTTTAAACCATTCAGTATCCCCATGTTCTGTTTGAACAGCTGCCTCTTGGTCTCTGTACAGGTTCTTCATGAACACAATTAAGTGTTCTGGAATATTCATTCTTCACATTATTGTCCATAGTCTCCTTCTTCCTAGTCTGTCTTAGTCTGGAAGTTCTGCTGAAACCTGTCCACCAATGGGTGACCTTGCTAGGGTTTAAATTACTGGTGACATAGTTTCCAGCATCACAGCAACACCCAAGCCACCACAGTATGACACACTGACAGACAACTGGTGGTCCCTTTGAGGGAGCATAGGTCATTCAGTCCTGATCTCCATTATGCAGATGGAGTAACTCAGGCTTAGAGAGGAGGGCCTTCCAGTCACCCTGGGAGTGAGTGGGCACAGCAGGCTGGCTCCAGCATCACCAGGCTTCAGCGGCACATGCTGAGGCCCAGGGTGTCTGAGACTTGTCTGGCTTGTGTTGCAGGCACTGCGACAGCGGCAGGAGGCCGAGAGCGTCGCCTTGCGCACAGTACAGAAACTGCAGGATGAACGACACCTGCTGCAGGAACGCCTGGGTAGACTGCAACACGCGCTGGCCCAGCTAGAGGCCGAGAAGCGGGAGTCAGAGCGGTCAGCTCTGCGGCTAGAAAAGGACAGGACGGCCCTCAGGAGAATACTGGACAAGGTGAGCTGCTCCCAGGCCTTCCCCTCATTTCCTCTGGGTCCTAGTCCTGGCTGCGCCTGGCTGCATATCCCCATGGTTGATATCTGCTCCTGCTGCCTCGTTGGCACTAGGCTATCCTACTGGGGACTGGAACCCGCTTCCCTCATGTACCCTGGTCCCCCTGGTTCTCCACCTAGGTGGAGAGGGAGAAACTTCGTAGTCACGAGGACACGGTACGGCTGAGTGCAGAGAAAGGGCATCTGGACCGCACACTCACGGGGGCTGAGCTGGAGTTGGCTGAAGCCCAGCGGCAGATCCAGCAGTTGGAGGTGTGGTCTCTGCCCACCTATCCCTGAACCCCAACCCTGTCTCCAGCCTGAGTGCCAGGCAGCCTCAGATGGAGCCCACGGCCCTCAACCCCCACCACCCAGGAACCCAAGCCCTTGGGTGGGGTCCTAGAGCTAGACACTGGAGGGGTGTGTTAGCATGCGAGCCTATGTGCTCATGGATGTTAGGGTCATGTGATGGTGTGAGTGCCCGTGTATATATTGTGTGTACAGCATGGATGTTATGAATAGGGTTGTATGTGTACAGAAGTCTGATATATATGTAGATGAATTTAGTATCAGCTTTTTTCACATATATGGTGTGCATGTTTGTCTTTGTGTTGTACATGTAAGAATCTACTTGAATATGTCTGCGTGTGTGCTTGCGTGTGTCTGAGTGAGGGTCACTGGATCTTCTGAGCCAGGATTCAAAGGCTTACTGTAAAGTCAGGGGTGTGGGACACAACCAAAGATTTTGCCTACATCTGGCCTCTAGGGCTTTGCCCCTGGGGGGAGGGGGATGGACACACAGATACGCACACAAACACACACATACATACATATATTCTGGGCCAGGCCCCCCCACCAGTGCCCCTCCCTGCAGGCCCAGATGGTGGTGATGGAGAAGAACCCTGGCCCCGCCCAGCCGGAGGTGGACGAGCAGCAGCGGCTGGAACTACAGCAGGAGGTGGCACACTTGCGCAGCGCTCAGGTGCAGACGGAACGGACCCTGGAGGCACGGGAGTGGGCTCACCTCCAGAGGGTGCGTGGGCTGGAGGAGCAGGTACTCAGGCCTCCTTGGGCTGGAGCCCCTCCCCAGTGGGTACAGGACTCACCCCTTTGAGATACTGGGCCCAGATGGCAGTGATGCTGGGAGGGGAGAGGGCTAGTGTGACTTCCCTAATTGAGGTCATTGGGGCGCACCCTGTCTCTGTGACTCTGCTCTCCTCTGGCTCCCTACTCAGGCAGCTGTCTCCCCAGGGGCACAGGTGGTTCCCAGGAGCTCCCACCTCAGGTTATGCCATCAACTCAGAGCAGAGAGAGGCCCTTTTCCCGAGAGCATCAGCACAAGTCCCAGGGATGATGCTTGTTGGCCTCTGATAAGCCAGGTGTGGGTCACATGTTGGCCCCTGAAGTCTATGCTTGGTGGTGTTGTTAAGTGCTGTTGTTAAGTTGGTTCCAACTCACAACTACCCTGTTGAGGATACTTTCACAACAGCAGAGGGTTTTGAAGGAATTGGTTGGGTGGTTTGAACTTCTGACCTCATGGTGAGCTGTCCAGCAGGTAGCCTAGTGCTACGTTAGTACTCTGCACTAGGCTCACTCAAATGATGATGGGGACTGAGGATGGAGTTGAGGGTCACCCCCTGCCCACCCCCAAGCCCACCCGATGCTGAGCAGTCAGACACCTCCCTGGTTCACAGAGCAAAGTGAGACCTGATCTCTTCTGAATAGGGAGCGCTGGGTCCCAGCTACAACTGAGTGTCTACTAGCTACCCACTTTGCTGGCATCAGGCTGAGGACCTAGATTGATCCTACCTGCCCTGTCTTTCCCAGGTGTCCACACTGAAGGGACAGTTGCAACAGGAACTTCGAAAGAGCTCAGCATCCTTTTCCTCACCCTCTGTTCCCTTGGGAAAATGAGCCCCTTCCCAAGGATCATGGAGCCAGCCCTGTGGTCAGAGCAGAAGAGAGGCCTCCTTCCCATACAAGCAGGCCCGGCCTGGCCATCAGGGCTCCCAGAGCATGGCCGGGGTGAGGAGGAGCCAGCTGGCCACTCTGCAGCACTGGAGTCGGGGGCTCCAGCTGCGGTATCATGGGATCCTGCCAGTAGGCCCCACCTCAGTTTAGCACCCCTCTCCTGACAGTGAGCCACTCCAGATTGTATAAGGCCCTCCCAGAGGGCAACTGAGCCAAAGCCAGAGGTGGGGGGACACCCTTGTCTCTGGCCAGCCCTGAGCATGCGCTGATGGAAAGGAGGAGGGGTACCCAGGCCCTGCCTCCAGCTGCAAGGATACCTCTCCCTTAGTCTAGAGTGTTAGGATGTTCCTCAGGGAACGGAGTCCTTGTATTTTTATACCTTTTTACAGTGTTCACGGTTCAGAACTGTTGTATTTTTTGTAACAAGAATACCCCATGTTTTTTAAATAAGCAGTTTGTATAGACATGTGTCTACTATTTATGTGCCTCCTCAGCTAGAAGGAGGATGAGGGGAATTGGATAGGACTGGGCAAGAACTGGACCCTTGGAGTGGGAGGCATAGGGGAGCAGGGGAGCAGAGAGGTCAACCTCACAGGGTGTCAGGTGGTGAGGTCACCCCCATTTAACAGATGGAACAGTTGAGACTTGAAGCTGTGGCAGCTCAACTCTTTACATTCATAGCTTTGTTCCCTTTCTCTGGTCCCTCCTCAGGGTGGGGCCCTCCAGGCCTAGGCTCATACTGAGTGCCCCTGGGCAAAGCTGCTTCTTAACCTCTCCCAGCCTCAGTTTGTTCATCTGTAAAATGGAAACCTACTTCACGCAGAAGACGTCCTGGTGTGGCACTGTGGGTTAATACCCTGGACTGTTTGAACCACAACACTGGCAGTTCGAACTCACCAACCTATACAGGACCACTATGAGTCAGAACCAACTCAGTGGCCACTTAACAACTCACATGGAGTTCTGGTGTGGCGTTGTGGGTTAATGCGCCAGACTGCAAAGCCGTTTGAACTGTAAGGTCGGCAGTTCAAGCTCACCAGCTGCTCCTTGGAAACTCTACACAGGGTCACTATGAGTCAGAACTAACTCGACAGCCACTTAACAGCAACACTACCATCTCATATGGAAGGAGCCCTGGTGGTACAGTGGTTAAGTGCTCAGCTCCTAACGGGAAGTTCAGATGCGGCATCTGTTCTCATAAAGATTATAGCTGTGGGGCAATGCTGTTGTCCTGTGGGGCCATTCTGAGTCGAAGGCACAAGCGGTTAGGGGGAAGCAGCTGTAGGAAGCTTCCATCACTGTTGTCAAAGGGAAACGAGACTTGTTCTGGAGTCTGACAGTCCGCGTTGGCTGCTTAGAATTGTTGGAACACTGGGATGGTGATTCAGTGCATCTGGGTTTAGTCTTTGTCTGCAAGCTTGCTGGATGCCCTCGAGTCTGTTTTGACTGAAAGTGACCCCATGTGATAAGAGGAGAAATGTCCCACGGGGTTTTATAGCACTGTAAGATCAGCACAGGACTATGGACCACAAGGGCAGCAGTTCAAACTTACCAGCTGCTCCTTGGAAATCCTATACAGGATTGTTATGGGTTGGAACCGACTTGACGGCACATTAACAACAACATCTTGGCAGAAAGGAGCTGGTGGTGCAGTGGGTTACGAGTTGGGCAGTGAGCCAACACATCTGTAGTTGCAACCCAGCAGATGCTCTGCTGAAGAAAGACGAGGCTGTCTATTCTTATAAAGATTTATAGCCTTGGAAACCCAGAGGGGAAATTCGACTCTGTTTATAGGGTTTCTATGAGTTGGAATTGTCTCTGTGGCAGTGGGGAATCTTTAAGGAAACAGATGTCTAAATTGATCTTTCTCCTGAGGAGCCACTGGAGAGGTTTGAACTCATAACCTTTTGATTAGCTGCCCTTGAGTCTATTCTGACTCATAGTGACCCCATGTGACACAGCAGAAACACCCCATAGGGGTGACCCCAAAGGAGGCTGGGTATCGTGGGGTGCATCACCAAGGAGCTGTTACAGAAAGGAGGCTGGGTATCGTGGGGTGCATCACCAAGGAGCTGTTACAGAAAGGAGGCTGGGTATCGTGGGGTACACCACCAAGGAGCTGCCAGGTGTTTGAACTGCTGACCTTTTGATTAGCAGCCTAGCGCTTAGCTGATGTACCACCAACAGCTGTTTGCAATGCTCAGCAGGACTGTGTGAGGGCACTCATTCAGAGGTGACCAGAGGGACTTCTATAATGGCTCACCCTGTCTCTACCCTTTGTACCAGCTGCCTCCCACTGGACTGCCAAGAAGCTCTTGATCTGAGTCCACCTACCCTGACTGCCCACCTTACACCACCCCATGTACATCCATAAACTTCCCCACAAGCACTCCTCCATCTGGATTCTCACCCCACTGGTGACGGGGGACTCCTGCCCATACCAGCAGCCCTGACAGAAAGCTGTAGTCTGGAACCCAGTTCCCCAAGTAACCCCTGTAGCACTTGGCATATCCGCACAGACGCACACATCCTGAGGGGCAGTTGTCAGGGTCCATCCTAGGTAGGTTGGAGCTAAAGGGGGCTGCAGTGAGGACTGCCCCCTTTCCCCAGGGGTCGGGGGGGGGGGCCCTCTGCGTGAGGACAGGTGGTGTTGGAGGCATCTCTTCATTCTGTGTGCTCACAACTGAACGGGTGACTGCATCGTTTGTAAAAACGTGTTTTTAATTTTGTATAAAACATAAGCGGTCCATGCCGGGCCTCTAGAGCAGCTGGGGGAGGGGCACGGCCTGCCTTCGGACTGGGGCACTGTCTACAGAGAGACCAAGTAGGCACCTCAGTGGCCCAGGTCCCACAGCAGCCTGGGGTGCCCCCACCCAAGAAGCTGAGGCTGGGCAGTGGGGAGTCCCCAATCTGCCCTATGCCTGGGCACAGGCTGGAGGAGAGGCATGAGGCAAGGCTTCCCAGCAGCCCCAGAGCCGCAGTTCACTAACGTTTTACATAATAAGGGGAAGGTGGAGAAAGGAAGAGAAGCACCAAGTTAGGCCTGAAGGCCTTGGATCTGCCAAGGGTCCACCCTAGCAGCCCCCGCAACTCCTAGCACAGGAGGCGGCCACAGATTGGCACAGGCCACTGCTGGCCATCACACCGCACTTGGAGAACTTGTCACGACACAGGTCAGCTGTTGTGGGGCGGGAAGGAGGTGTGCATCAGGGCGGGGCTGGGTGATGGGAACTGCTACCCCCTCCCATACCCTGGTGATGTAGGTAAGAGTGGAGCTCAGGATTCCCACCAAGTGGCAAATGGACAGATAGCAAATAGGCATAGGCATGGGGACACCTTCCTACCTCGGAGGAGTTCCTCGTGGGCACAGACTGTGCGGACACAGATCTCCCTGTTGATGACGTACACACGGCGGAGGCTGGGGGAACAGGGCAGGCAGGGAGGTTTCAGGTCCACCCCCAGGCCTGGGCTCCACCACAGTTAAGCTCCATTTTAGGACTCCCTATCTTTCTCCAACTCCCACTTTGGCTATGGGAGTCCATAGACACCCCCCACCCCCCACCTCCCACAGTCCTGCTGGTGCCAGCCTGTGCTCACCTGTAGAAGCAGACCTCATTAAGACACTGTTTGCAAGGCTTGTGGATGGAGTAGAGGCGGGTACACGGGTACTGCTCCTCGCGGCAGTCTGGGGACATGTGTAGATCAGACTAGGGGCTGAGGTCTGGGGCCCAGATTGGAGCTGGGCCCTGCGGAGGGTAGCCCCAGCCTCATGCATCCTGAAACTGGCCAGGGTTACGGTACCATTCCTCACCCTCAGGCCCAGTCCCCCATCAAAGATGCAATTAAAGTACACACTGACCTTGGGGCATATTCTTGAGGGCGAGCATGTGGAGGGGCACGCTTGCACATGCACACACAGACACACACACACACACACGCTTGCACACACTCACATACGGGCTCTTGGCTGGGGTAGTGCTCTCTCCTTGTCTGGACACTTGGCTCTTCTCAGTTTCTCTGGCTTCAAGGAAGCCCCAGCACACTGCCTGCCTCTCCCCAGTCTTTGGTTAAAGGGCCCTTCCTGAGGCTAGATACAGCAGGGGCACATGGGGGATCTTCCAGAGCTGCCTGGGAAGGGGCTGGAGTTGCTAGCCCCCACTACCACCAGCAGCTCACACCCGCTACCTGACAATATCAGAAGGCCTCGATGTCCCCACCTCCAGGTACCCCAACTTCTGCCCTGCTGTCTTTTCCCCTAGGCCAGGCCAGGGAGGCGCTTACCAAGAGGGCCAGGCTCCGTGGGCTCAGTCTCTGGGTTTCCTGGATCTGGTGAAGGGAGGGAGGAGGCAGGGATCACTGGGATGGGTCTGTTCAGGGCAGGGTGGAATTACCTCTCCCAGCAGGGGCACAGAGTGACCCCACTCTCAGGAGCTGTGGGTTGAAAGGGAGCAGGACAGGGGGTTCGATTTGAGCAGGGGCCTATGGGCTACCTAAGTAGGTGGGGGCCGGGATGACTTCCTGTTGGACTTGCTGCTGGGACTGGAACTGGAACTGCTCCTCGGGGGGCCGAGGGGTCACTTCTACAAGACAAGAATAAGGACGGGCCCGTCTCTTCCTATGTCCCTGTGGACAACCCCACCGCAGCATCTCCTACTAGTGTTTACCTTGATAATCATAGTAGTCCGGGGTGTCTGAAAACAAAGATGAGGGTGGAGTTGGAGGGGGTCAGGCTGACTCCAGGGCCAAGGAAGGTCACAAGCCAGTGACCACCCCAGAGATTCCCACCAGCCCAGTCTGCACCCTCTTCCTGGCTGATCATGCTCATCTGCAGAGCTGGGCATGAGGATGTGGCCACTGGGGGAGTCGCTTACCAATCTGGTCACTGTAGTGAGTGTACTGGACGTGGTCAGGGAACGGAAGCAGGGGATCCAGGTCATATTGGC